CTTCCCTAAGGAGAAGTGGAAATCCTCTGTTGACTTAAGGGCCGTTAACCTTTTCTCACAGTGAGATACCCAGTGATCTGCAGTGATTCCAGATACACTCATCTAAATAAACGGAAGCTGTTTCCTTGCAAGTTGAATCACAAATGAAAAATATTTTGGGAGTACCATAGAAACAAATGCACTGTCTTCCTGAAATATGGAAAGTGACTTTTGTGGTGTTTATTTGTGTGAAAACAAACATTATTCTTTACAAATACTTTTACCTGGAATATAGAAACAGAGATACTAAGACAGAGATAGAGAGATATCATGAGAAAGAGAGAAGGCTAGGTATTCGAATAATGCAATGAAGGGTCAGAGAATGGCCCCACTAACCTAGAACCTACTCAGTCACGTTCTTCTCGCATCAGTTGGAAGTTGGATTCACCTGTGATCACAGCAGCAGCTTAAATTCATAACAAGAAATCTGGAGCCCACGATCCAGAGCGGGTACAATTGCTCCAGGAAGCCATCCATACCCCAGACAGTTTCTCTTCTCAGACATACTTAGTGTACTCTTGCTGCTGTGGACACAAGCTCACTGCTCCACCTTCAGCAGCACATTTCCTATGGCAGGCAAAGTAATGGACCCTCAAAGATGTCCACGTCCTAATCCCCAGAGGCTGTGAATACTGGCAACGGGGAATTAAAGTTACAGATGGAATTCAGGTCTCCAAATAGCTGACTTCAAAATGGGGAGATCTGGGTCAGCCCAATGTGATTATAAGGATCATTCAAAGCGGAAGAGGGAGTCAGAGGGACTGGGGAAGAACGGGTAGAGAGTTACATCATTCCTGGCCTTGAATATGGAGAAAGGGGGACCCACAAAGAATGTGAGTGGCCTCTGGGAGTTAGAAAAGCGAGGAGACCGATTCTCTCCTAGAGCCTTCAAAAGAGAACACAATTCTACCAACTCCTTGATTATAGTCTGGTGACACCCATGTCAGTCTTCTGACCCACAGATGTGGAAGATAGTAAGTTCATACTGTTGTAAACCCCTACATGTGTGGCCGTTGTTATAGCAGCAATTGAAAACTAATAACGTGGCTCTCGCACCACGTCCCTGCAGGCAGGAAGAAAGGGAAGAACAAAGCACCATAGGCCACGGACGTCAGCCCTGCTCCTTTTAAGGAGCTTTCCCAGAAGTCTCCCCCAACAGTTTTTACTTACATCTCATTGGTCAGAGCTATCCTGGGGCCACCCTTCTCTGCAGTGGAAGCTGGGACGGGTACAATTTCAGCTGAGCACATGGCCACCCCCAACAAAATGCGGGTTCTGTTAGCACAGAGGAAAGGGAGGATAGATACTGGGCGGGCAGGCAAATTGGCTGGAGTCCCGCCACACTCCTGGGCAGAGCTGACACTTCCATAACACATCGTTCTTTCCTCTATGATGGCCATGTTTGGGTTGCCGTATAATTTATGTGTTTACCTGGCTGTTCTCCTCACTTGACCCAGAGTGTTCAAGTGCAGACACTGTGGCTGGTGGAGCTCTCTGTCCCGGATGCTCAAGCCAGGGGATGATAGAGAGAGGTGTTTGCATGCAGCTGGATGGATGAATGCATACATGGATTTTGAAATGAGAGAATGATCGATGCTCTTCCCAGAGCCATAGATTCTTTGTATTTCCTGGCGGAAGGTCTGTTTGGGTCAGGGAGACTTTATAAGACCGTTCGGCCACGATTGCAACTTCATCCCCAGGAAATTAAACCTACACAGCTGCGCTGTGTCACCTTTCCTGACCGCCTGTTACAGTCTGCTGTTCGCTCTGAAGAAACTGAGCGAGCTGGTCGGAGGCTGTTATGTGCACCTGTCTCAGCCTAAAGCTTGTGTGTATATTACACTTCCTGCCCGTTCTTTATTTTTAGCTCAGCAGTATCCTACTTGGCTCCTCCAGGGAAGGCTGCATTTGGTTTCAGTCGTGAAACTACGAAGCAGTGGCATTTCTAGCCCGGCTGGGATGACTCTTACTAACCCCTCACACTGTTTCTTGGGATGCCCCTCAGCCCCAAGGACTCAGTTTTCCCAAAGAAAAACGGCGCCCTGGGCCACCCAGTGCCCTGAGGACCGGGCCCAATCCCACATGTGTATTTGCAGAGAAAGTTGCTACTTGGTCTGAGTTGCTTAGACTTACATTTGCTGTCCATTTCCCACATCCATTTCCTTCGGGTGAAACTTAGTTGTTCTTATCTCAAAAGTCTAGTTTCATGGCCTTTTTTTTTCTCTCTCTCTCTCTCTCTCCCTCCCTGTTCCTTCTCAGTTACCCACTATCATGACCTAAATCTTCAGCACCTGAACTATATAGCTGAGAGCCCTGAAACTCAGAGTGCCAGGGCAGGCTGCAGAGACAGTGGCAGCCAGTGGGCATCAGGTCATCGAGAATTCTTAACCACCAGGGCTGCTTCACCGGCAGAAGCAAGCTATTTGGAGTTAGCTTTTTTTTTTTTTTTTTTTTAAGTCAGCCATTTTTGGCATGATCTTGTTTATTTTAGAATCCCCTGTAATGCCTAGCTCCAAGTCCAGCCAAACAATCTCCATAAATATCGGTAGAATTGCCTGCAAATCGATGGAGTTGCCCTTTAACCCCTCCCTTGTCGTATGAGCAGCGGAGGCCCTGGGTCCTTTCCCCAGCCATAGTCCAAGAAAGGCTGCCTACTCAGCAGCAGGCCAAAGGAGGCATTTAACATTTATTTTTAATTTTTTAATTCTCATCCAAAGTTATTTTCCCCTCATTGATTTCTAGAGAGAGTGGAAGGGACAGGGTTAGGGGAGAGGAGAGAGAAATATCATGTGATAGAGATACATTATTGGTTTCCTCCCCTACCCACTCTCCACTGGGGGGTGAGGGGGTCGAATCTGCAACTCAGTTACATGATCTTGACTGGGAATCAAACCCAAAACCCTCCTGTCCTCAGGCCAATGCTCTAACCCACATGTGTCAAACACAAGGCCCGCGGGCCAAATCCGTCCCGCCAGGCCTTGCAATGTGGCCCACACCGCGCTGTCATCACTGCACTCCGCTGCGTTTCCATCACAATGACAGTTTATGACTGTTCAGTAAACCATTCGGCCCGCGATTTAGGCTGGATTTTAGATTTTGGCCCCTTCTCTGATTGAGTTCGACACCCCTACTCTAACCACTGAACCATGCCAGCCAGGGCAAGGCATTTTTGAAAAAAAGCAATTTATTGTTTTTATTCTGCTTAAAGAATACATTATTATTTTTTTAATTGGGAACATGTTAAACAAAATATCACCCAATTTTTTCTTTTAAGAATTTTTTTTTTAATTTTTAGAGAGAGAAACATCGATATGAGAGAGAAACATTGGTTGCCTCCCACACACACAAAACCTCATCCATCCAGAGGCTCTTTTTCTGATGCCTGGGAAAGAACCAGAAAAGCCCTCAGCAGAGTACAGTGCATCCCCAGCTAAATCCATGCCTGTGTCTTGGTGTTCCTCAGCCCTCAGAAGGCTTCACTCTGAACTATTTCGGTCTTAGTCTAACAGACTTGGTTAGCCTGTACCCAGCAGCAGAGGAGAAGATGGGAGGGGAGGAGAAGAGAGAGGACTAGTATAGACAGGCACAGACCCGCAGCAAAGCTTGACAGAGGGGAAAGAAACCAAAAGCTAAATGAATGAGTGAACAAATAAATTCAGACCAAATAATTCAGGAAGCGCAATAGTCTACAGTCCTTTCAGCGGGGACATCCATCCCCCATAACCCCAAAGGCATTGTGGCACTAAGGTGCCACCCCAGTATGCCAACGCAATCAATGCTTAACAGGCAGGAAAATGGGAAATAGAGCCTACCCGGTAAGAGTTTGGCACAACAGTCATGAGCAGGGTCTAGAGTCAGACATCCCAGCTTGAATCCTGCTTTGAGGCTGTGCAATAGCAAACTAATCTCTGGTCAAGCCTTAATGATCTGATCCGTAAAATGGGGATTCCTTACTCCCAGGGCCATTGGGAAGGTGAAATAAAATAAGCCATGTGAATTCTTGGCTCAATTCTTGGCTCAATACTTACTGCTCAATAAAAGTTAATGTATTGCGGTCATTTCATTGAAAGAATACAGCTGCTGCAACTTCCCCCAATCATAACTGTCGCTGCTGTTCTGGAATATTCCCAGAGTCTCCAGGCAGTGCTGAAATTTCCCTTTCAGGAAATTATATATATATATATATATATATATATATATATATATATATATGCTGTGAAAACTGAGGAAAGTTCCAGAAGAGTAGGGATTATTGTATCAGTCCAATTCATCTCCTCTCTTTTGGGTGGTAGAGGGAGATGACTGTAGGCTCTCTAAGATTGGCTCTTTCTTTCATTTTTATTATTTTTAAAATTTTTATGTTTTTATTTGTTTTTAGAAAGAGGAAGGGAGAGGGATAAAGAGATAGAAATCAAGATGAGAGAAAAACATGGATCAGCTGCCTCCCGCATGCCCCCTACTGGGGATCAAGCCCACATCCTGGTGGCCAAGAATCAAACCGGTGACCTCTTGGTTCATGGGTTGATGGTCAACCATGGAGCCACACCAGCCCGGCAGAGTAAAATTGGCTCTTCACACTTTGGTCAACCTGATAGGAGAGCAATTACTCCGAGAAAATTGGGAGAATATGAAGCTGTTAGCCTCCAGCTATTATGTCCTCTGCTATGTGAAAATATCTACCTCCAAATGAAGAATGTGGGTATTGAGCATATTGCAAAGCGTTTTTGCAAAGTGGTGGCCGCAAACTAGCGGCAGCAGCTCTGGGTTGTTTTCCTTTGGCCAACGTCTGCTCGGTGGTGATGCTGAAAACACAGGGTGCTCTGTGATGTAAAACCCTGGCCTAAGCGTAAGGTAAAACGGGGACTGGCAGGCTGCCCCCTCCCCCCCAGGAAGGAGCTGCTCTCTGGCCCTGGGGTGGCAGGACAGTACAGTAACCCGTCCTCTGTTTGTGTGTTTTTCAGGCTGGAGCAGGAAATCCAGGCGCTAGAAAGCGAAGAGTCCCAGATATCCGCCAAAGAGCAGATCATCCTAGAGAAACTAAAGGAGACGGAAAAATCCTTCAAGGACTTTCAAAAGGTGAAGGAAACATGCGATTTCTCTAAACTCTAGCCTCAGGGAAGTAAGCTCCAGGGAAAGGGAAACACTGCCAATCAGAGAAAAGGCCAGTTGGTGCTGATGAGGAGGCTGAGCCCCACGCTCTGCACACGAGGGCCAGATGGGGGAGGACAGGGCCAGCTCTGACGCTGAGGGTGGCCTGTCTTCTGGGACCACCTGGCCTGCCGAGGAAGCAGGGAGACTCATTCAGTATTAACCCCAACTCCCGACTCTCCACACGTCTAATGCCTGGCAAGTCATCTCCTGTTGGACTCGAGAATCCTAAAACCAGTTCTAGGGAAGCAGATTAAACATGCTCCTGTGGCTTTAGTTGAAGTCTTTCCTTTATAAAAAGGCCAGAGGCAAAACCAACTTCTGTCATACCCAATAGACATGAGTTGGGAAAACAAAGTGTAAATACATGAAATGTCACTGTATGTGAAAACAGTCCGTGTCATCAGAGAGCCAGGAAGCTCTGACTGCCTCTGGACCGTCTCTCCTTTCCATAACCCCGTTTCCTCAGGCACCCCTTGGCCACAGAAAGCAATCTAAACAAATTAATTTTCCGATTGGATTTTCTGATATTACTTCTTCAATACAACCAAGGGTATTGGCTGGATAATCGAAAGAAATCTCGACTGGGAGGAATTCGGTAGATGTTGGGGATGGTAAACTTTTCCCTTAAAATTCAGGATCCCAAATACTTTTCCCAGAAGAGCAGAGATCATTGGGTTTGCTCATCACAGTCAAATCCCGGGCCTGGCCTGGGGGAGAAGGACGGGTTACGTGAAGGAGGGGTTCTCTCCTCGAGTGTGTAGTAACGCTCTGCCCTGCTTTTGTTTCCACAGAGCTTCTCCGGTGTGGATGGAGGTAAGTGTGAGCACTCTCTGCCCCATCTGTGGGTGAATGTTTCCTTCCCGGTCAGCTTAGCTTCATTAACACAGGCTCTCGGGAGACGTGGCGTGTCGTTGTGTAAGGGCATCAGAAAGTGAGGGGCACCTTTCCCAGGGTGCGGAGGAGGCCCACGTCCAGAGCCTTCTTTGCCTTCTTCGGGGACCATCTCTTGATTTGCTGTTTCTAGCTTATATAGCTGGCTCTCCTCCTTCCCATTCGTTCCCCAGAGTTCACCGCTTGGACTGTTTTTGAAAGATGCTTGGCTAAGAGTGTTAACATCAGGACCAGACCTCAGGCAGGAAGGAGCTCATTTGTGCTGGTGGGTAGGGCTCCAGGTCACCACCCATTGCACATCGGAAAGCTGTTCCCTGGTGTTGAGGAAACCCTTCGAAGGCCTCTGGTTTTTCTTTGGTTCGGCAACTGCAGTTTCTGCAGCCTTCCAGGGAGGCGGGGCTGGGCAGAACTCTTCTCTCTGGGAGTGGGAAGAGGAGGAGACATGAGGTGTGGGAGCAGGGCCCTGGCTTCCTGCTCCCCATCCTGGCAGGAGGAGGCCTTCTCTTGCTCTCTTTTCCCTTCCTTGCCCCTGCCTCCACTCTCTTTCCCCAGGGCCAGGTAGTTGAACTTGGGATTGTGAGCATCTCATTCTTTACTTTGCTCCCAAAATCGTTAGCTATGAACTTGGGAAACCCACTCAATTTCCACTTTCCCTCTGGCCCTCAGCTAGACCTGCTTCGAAATGTGGGACTTGTGGAAGGATCAGATCCATCTGCTCCTCTGGTTCTTTTTTTTTTTTTTTTTAATTCTATACTGTTGAAAGTATTACATGAGTCTCCTCCCCCCCCCCCATTGACCTCTCCCCTGCTACCCCCACCCCAAAGCACAAGCTCTCACCCCCCTACTGTCTGTGTTGATTGGTTTTGCTCAGATGCATGCATACAAGTCCTTTGGCTGACCTCTCAACTGGTTCTTATAGAGTCCACCTTTACACTAGGAAGAGAATCAGGAGCCAGAATAGGAGTTGACATCAGTGTTTGCCCAATGTCACCTGGAAATGTATGGGGAAAGGGATGGGTCATGTATTTCTCTGGATGAGCAAAGAATCTAGCACTAAGGATAATTCTGACTTTAGAAACAAAAAGTATTGTGTTTTTGGTTTCCCTCTCCCCCTCCAAGCAAATAAAAGGCAGAGGACCTGGATTCTGGCTGGCCAGGTGATCTTTGGGAAGGTAGTAAATTAAATCCCACTCTTCCAGTTCATGTGGCAGAGACAGATCAGGGCTGAGCCAGCACAGACTCCAGGAGAAGTACCTATGACAGTTCTAGAACCTTCTCTAGGGCGTGGCCAAATCAGGGCTCTTGTTCTGTGCTTTGGAGGTGAAGCATGGTCTGAGGATATGACCTTTCCTGTTTGGGGGGATTGCAGGGGCAGCATGGGAAAGTTGGTGGTTTCCCAGGTGGGTGCCAGGGAAGACCAGAGGCAGACCACTGTCTCTTTCATTCTCACTCTGAACTTCTCTCATCCCCTCCCGCACTACTTCCCACTATGGTCATCTGTTCACACAAGCAGTTCCAAGAGGGGTGAGAAGCCTGAGAGCTTGCAGAGAAAATGCCTTTATGACTTGGTCTTCTTTTTGACAAGATTGGTGATCTCAGAAGTAAGAGGATGTGAAGTCTTAGGTATCCCAGTAAATGGCCTTACCTGTCACCCTGGGTTTTGTGGTCTTACCTGTCACCCTGGTTTATGATTCCTGCCACCTCTGGTTCTAACTTAGAAGATTAGGAGTACTTTCTATCACACCACGTCTCCCGGCAAAGAAAAATCTGAAGGAGGAAACACATCCTTCCAAGAATGCGGCCAACGTTTGGGTCACTCTGTGGTCTGAGGGTAAAAACTGGAGCACGTCCAGGAGGAAGGGATTGTGAAGCGCCTGATTATTTTCTCGGTCTCTCATTCCCAAGGCCCCTTTGACTTCAGCATTATCCAGACCCTCTTAGGACCCATCAACTGTTGTTACTTAAGAACTAACACAAAATGATTGGAGACTAATAATACCTTAATAAAAACACCCAACTTCTGAAACTGGTTTCGGAATCCAAGGCCAACCAGATTATATAACTAACTGTACAAGGACCACAGATAATTAGCAAAAGCAGCCTGAGTGGAATGAGATGTCAAGGAGATAGTTGTGGGCGTTCGTGGGTGTCATGACCCCCCCTTCCCCTATGCCTGCCCCCTCTGTGCCTGCCAGAGGAAATGAGGGCTCTGTGCCATGCCGCTGGACCACCAATGGCTTTGACCACATGGTAGCCCTGGTAGTCAAGAGCAATGTATTCCCTTCATGAGTAGAATTTCCCATTCTGAATTCTCTTGACTTCCTCCCCCACCTCATCTGCACACTTATTATATAGCGGCCTTCATCAATTAGGAGGGTGTTTTTTACTGCCTTAGGTAGACATTGTGCCATGTGTAACTATGAATTGCATACAGTATGGTTTGTTTGTTTTTTTACCCATGGAAGAGATGGTATAAAACCCTGGACGGGAACCGGCAAGATAAGCATGCCCTGGCCCCACCTCAGCCCTTGCTATATGAGACTGATGTTTGACCAGTTCAGGTGTTCTCACCTGGTCTTAATGTCTTGAGCCTGTGCCTCATTTAAATGCAGGAAGTCAGATTTACTGAGATCCCAATCCACAGAGTTCTGGAAATCACTAGTTCTATAGATCTGCTCTGGTCATCTCTTGTGCCCTGAATTGGCCCTCTCCCCCTAGGTTGCTGCTCCATTCTTCCCATGGATGAGGTTAACAATCTACCCTACCTAGTCAGGACCAGCTGCTGCTCTCCTGGGTCCTGCCTTGTGCTGGTCTGGGGCCCAGACCCTTTCCACAGCTCCCCACAGTGAGAATAAGGTCTGCAACCCAAGTTCAGGAATACTAGCAGAGCAGCTCAATATAGAAAATAATGTGCAACCTCAGACAAGTGGCTACCCCCAGCAGCTAGGCTCAAATCTAAGCCCATATTCATGGGGTACCCCAGGTGGCTTCATGGCCATCTCCCAGCCCACTGTCATCTCAGTGGCCCAACTTCCTTCCTTGCAATAAACGGTCTTCAACCATGTCTGCCTCGCCCAGGGTCCAAGCTCCAGCATCCATAGGCCCGAGAGAGCTAGTAACCTGAGCCTCACTCCACTCTCAGGCCTGCAAACTCCTGATTTCCGGTTCCTTCTCCCCATGTGATTGATGTGGAAAAACTCATTCCCTTAGAAAAACTCCGCTCCATCCTCACTCATGGAGTGTATTCTTTGCACTAAGAACCAAGTGGTCCAATATCCATACATACGAGATTGTCAGACTCACATGCAAGTCATCTCATGCCAAACACACGCTAATTACTAAAATTCTGCCACACACCCAAAAATGTTATATTTTTTGCCAGTCTGACAAAAACATAGGTATAATTTTGATTCATTCATACTGGGTGGCTATTGTTGTCATTTTTTAGTTTGCAATCTAAGGGAAAAGAGGTCCGGCCCCTGTCTAAATAGTTCGGTATTGCATGATTGAAAAGTTCCTGTGGCACACAGGTTGAGCATCATTGGTCTACCCTGTATAGGACTGAACTAATCCACTCCTAATGCAGTGTCTGTTTGCAATCCTCTCCACCATGAAATTACAACAAGAAAAAAGAAGCCTGCTAAAACCAACAGGGACACAGGGCATGGGGGAGCAGGATATGGGGGAAGCAGCAGATGTGTGAGGATAAGAGTCTGCTTTTGGACATGTTGAGTTTGAGGTGATTGTGGATGTTCAGTGGACATGGGCAGTGAGCAGATGTAATTGTGGATCAGTGACTGACATCCCAGGGTCTGGGATATGGTTATGACGCAGGAAGAAATCACACCACTCCACTTGCCCACTTCTCTCTGGGGCCCACACAGGTTCCTCTCCTTGTCTCACTCCAGTGGCTTCCTCCTTTCCTCCGACACTTTGGCACCTGCTGAGGTTCATGCCCGCCGGGGTCTCACCTCCCAGAAGAGGCTTGTCAAGGTCTTTTTCCCCCTCTTTCGCACCATTTCCTGCAACTGAGCTATTGGTGAGCTCACTGGGGGTTGTTATTTGGATTTAAGATTTTCTAGCAACAACACCAGCTGAAGTACTGAAAACATGGGATAGATTCTAGAATTTTTTTAATGCACATAAAACTGGTCTCTGAATAAATCGGGCACATCAAGCTGTATTTCCAGTTCAGGAAACGAGCACCAGATCTACTTTTCATTTCTGTTGAATGCATATTGCTAGGTGATGGCCCACATTGGGTCAATCCCAGCAAGCTGATAAATGACTCTCACCGGCCCATCTCATTTCCCCCACCCTGAACCATTGTATTATTAGAATCTAGAGCTTTCTGATGACTCTTTCAATACATAGAACATTTCTGGGTTTGAGCCCTCTGGCCAGGATCCCTCCTGCCTCAGCTATTCTGCTGAATACTAGCCACTGGGCAAATGCTTCTCTTTGTTCACCCCGATCCTCTCACCCAGCACCCGCCCCGTTATGTAGGGCAGAGCCCCTATTGGGCCTCCCGACACTGTGCCTAATTGTATTCCCTGTTCTCTGCTACCAGATGCAGTAAATTGCATTTCCTCCCAGCTCCCCAACCTGCCAACCCTCTATTCACGAACAGCAGAACTGTCACCTGGGCAGGACGGAACCAGCAGAGCAGCTGGTAAGTCCTGGGGAGCGATTTGGTTTGGATGCCAGGACTGGCCCTGGGGCTTGCATTTCTCGGCACTTTACTAATGAGGGGTTCCCAGGTATTCTCGCAGAGAGGGACCTAGTCCTCAGCTCAGCCTCAGACGTAGAATTACAGTGGCCACACAGGGTAGGCACTGGGTCCCTATGACTAACTAGGGACCAAATAGGAGGGAATATGGAGGCTACAGAGTGTTTTCCCTCCTGCTTCAGAAGAGTCTGTCTCGAGTTTGCGTTTTTTATATCTGTCCTTATTCTCAAAGTTAATCTGTACTCTGCCGCCAGGGGTTTTTATTTTCCGTGTTGAAATAGACCCGATCAAATGAGCTGTGATGGGAGCTGGGTGGAAAGTGTTTTCAAAATGTTTGAATATGTTGCCAAAATCCTTTGGGAATTGAGCTGTTTGAATCTTGTGAACATATAACCCCAAGTCTTCCTGGAGACTTTTTAGCTACTGTGATATGCTGGGAGGAAGAGGAGCAATCAGGGGACATATGTTTCTGGCTAATGTTTCTCCAACTGTGAATCTTAGAGAGGAATACACCCGTGAGTATAAGTAGAGAGAGAGCTACACCGTGCTCTGCTCAATTGAATGTGCCTCCGCAATCAGAACAGAAGGCCGTGAACAATGACAATCAGTTTGCTCTGTGCACACATGCCCCGAGTGTCAGGGGTCAAATGAAACGGTGCTTTGCCAAGGTTGCACAGTTAGTGACAATGGGAGTGAATTCAAATATGATGTCAGAAGTCACGCTTCCCGTAATCTAGGTACGTTGATGTTGAAAATAAATCACATAATGGCATCTGCTATGAAACAAAACAATCATGGACTTTTAAGTCAGAGGAACTCTTTTATCTGGACCGGCCTGAATATTTTATGAAGCAAATAATCCCTCCTTATTTTAATGCAAAGGTAAAATGAGCCAGCAACTAAGTATTGACCTATTTATCCAATGCACTGATTACATTTAAATATCTACTGGGTTTAGTCTGCAAACATCTTAGCATATTACTTTACATACAGATGCACAGAATTCTAGGGTTGGGTGGGACCGGAAGGGGTGTCTGGTCAAACCCAGGTCCAGTCCACGTTTCGCTGGATAGTTCTAGGATGGATAAACCAGAACTTGCACCTGCAGCTGTACTACAAGGGAATCACTGGCTGTGCCTCAGGCTCCAAGATGAATATTTTTAAAAGTAAGTTTGCATGTACTTTTGCTTATGAACTCGGGGAACAACCGTTGAGAAGCCACACACCTTCCCGCTTATTCTTGGAGACATGGGTGTTGATAGTTTCCAAGTTGTCGGTAAAAGGCTCTCTGGCCCCTCATCACAGGTTCCTGCACCTCACAGGACACGCAGTGGGAGCCAACGGGTGGAGCAGCTTGTGGAGGGAGTAGGAGCAGAGCATGAGAACTAAGAGACAGAAAGAGGGTTTGCATGGTATTGGTGGTCAAAGAGTATTAAATTCAAGGGTGGCGTGTTAGTGTGATTGTAGTGCTGTGTGTGTAGGCATACCCCTACCATCACAGCCTAGCATCCTTCACATGTGGAGGTACTTCAGAAACAGTGATCCAAAAAGCAAATGCATTTTTTTAATAAGTATTACATTATCTGAATATTTTTTAAAATAAGGTTGCACGTACTACTTTGGTTTCTTAAAGGACTAGTTTTCATAAATGCATCTGCTACGGGGATGCAGGTGAGCAGAGTGGTAGGAGGAATCACAGTTGCTGGGTGCACTCCTTTGTCCAGGCTGGCTTAGGAATGGAGGGCCAGGTTCATTATTGTTGGTGGTGACGACCCAGAGCATGATGGCACACCAGCTAATGACAGTCATCATAGAATATTCCTACACATCATCCATCTTGCTTTAGGAATATCCTTGTGGAGACTTGCCCAAAAGTAGGGACACTTTTGTAAATGTCACTTGTCATTACTCAGTATTGTGGCAAACGATCTTGTCATTTGCAGTTCGGGAGGTTTAGGGTTCTGAATAATGAGAATATATTTAGCATCGTCGCTCTTCAGAATAAGGAGGTGTCTATTCCAGTCCCTGATCACACAGGGAAGTCAGGGTGTGGCAGCCCTGCCAGGAGCCCTCCAGCCCTGGCCACTCACCTCTGTGGCTGGAGCTGAGTCTCCTCCAGTGGCCCCTTCTGCCCATAGTTGGTGCTGATTAGAGGGAAGTCCTTCCTCTGAAGGGGCTACCATTTGTCTGCCCTCTTCTCCCCACCTCACCCCTCACCTCGGATTGGTTCTCATCCTGCCCCCAGGAGCCTCTCAGAAACTAGTTCTGATTTCCCTTCAGCTACTTGAAAATGACTATCATTTCCTGTCTGTCCCAGATCCTCAGTGTACATCCCCTGGGGCCAGGTCTCCTCAGCTGGTCCCTAGATGATGAGATTGCCTTGAGACACCCTCCTTCACATCCCTGTCCTTCCCCTCTGAACACTCGGCACTGTCCCTGGTCCTCCTGAAGGGTTCTGAGCTGCCCTGCCCACACTCGGAGGGGCTAACCCCCATGGAGCAGGACCTGAGGCCACAGATCATGTGAATCGCTTCCTGGGAGTTGGCACCACGGCCTTTCAGCTGCAGGTTCTGGAGGAAAGCCTCAGAGTCACTGCGCATGTGCCTCTGATCAGCCTCCTTTCCTTACCTGTGTGCTCACTGTTCGTGGCACCTGCAATCTCTCTCTTCCCACAACGGCTCACAGCAGAAGAACCTTCAAACGTCTCTATTTCTTAATCTCCAAAGGCAAAAATAAGGATGAGCTATGCACCTTTCTGTCCTTTGTAGGTTAGATGTGATGGTTAAGTTCCTTCCTGTTAGATTGTCCCTTAAACATGCAGGGAGCTCACAGGGCCACCTCAGAGCCTCCGAGGAAGACAGGAGGGGAGCAGGTAGGAGATTTAGTAATCAGGGCTCCTTTGTTCTCTCCCATTTTAAACAGCAGCTCCTCCACGCTCTCTCGTGTTTACATATTGTGTTTCTGTATTCATTTCCATTTGAATAAAGGGCTTCACAGTTTTAAAAGCGAGGGGGGGGGGACACCTCTGTGGGCGTCTTTATAGCTTGTGATCATGGCACCTCATAGCCTTACTTTTCTTCTCACCTCAAATCTGAAAAACAAGCCTTCATTATTTTTAATCATCTCACTGACCAAAACGTTGCAGAGTTAGACCTGAAGTCAGAGGCCTGCAAGCAGACCTCTGCATGCTCTCTGGCTGCCTACTACCTTCTATTGTACTGGCCATGTTACCAGCACAGGAGCACGTGCTGTTCATGGCACCACAGAATATCAACGCTGGATACCTTCAACCGAGCAAATGGGGAAAGAAAATGAGACCCAAAGATGGGGTGTCATCTGGATGGGAATTCAGACCCGCTGTGTTTCTCCCTCCTCCCGACACCTCCCGTCTTACTGACTAATGGCAGTGGGGGCGTCATTTTATACTCTACAGTGGCTGCTCAGCCTGTGCCTCCTCCCACGGAGCACAGTGAGTCAAAGGAAGTGAGCTGAGAGACGTTTCATACCCTCCAATCCTTTTGTCATCAGTGTGCCATGTTTGGAAATTGATAACTAAATTATTGTCTGGTAAGAACATACTTCTAGACTTTAGTCATCCCATCCCAGCCTGAGTCAAAGACTTGGGCAAAGATTGAATTCCCCTCGTTACGAAAGTGTCTTGTTTTGTGTGCTCCTGGCTTGGTTCTGAAATGGAATCATGTCCGTTGGTTCCCTGTCCACTCACTGTGTCCGGTGTCCTGTCCCCTGCCCCCTGGGCTCGTTACAGTGGCTCTCTTTTTGCTAAAGCTGAAAGTAACAGGGAACGAGACAGTCGTAGAGCCAGGGGAGTGAGGCTGACGGGGAATCAAGCGTCCTCTGCTCCTCAAGCCCATCTTTTTGGATGCTGCAGCGTGCCAGGCCCCGAGAGCTTCTCGCCCCTCCCTCACCCTGGTTTCTAGGCTGATGTCTTCCCCAGGAGCCGCCCACTGCAGCCACACCTGGCTGTTGCCAGGATCCTGAGGCTGGGATGCTCATCCCCCATTGCAGCGTTCCTGCTTCTTCAGAGTGGCTCTCCTCATTGACCAGAGTACGCCTGGGGGAGTAAGAACCTAGTCAACCAAGCCGGGAGGCCCCAAACCAAAGCACCAGTTCAGCCATTCCTTCACATCCCATTGCCGAAACCAGCCACTTGGCTTCTCATTCTTCACGAACAAAGTGAATGTTTTTCTTCCCTGTCTCGTGGGTTATTGGAAGGAATGCAAAAATGTTTCATACACTCCAACCCTTTTGTCATCAGTATGCCACGTTTGGAAATCGATAACTAAATTATTGGCTGGTAAGAACATACTTCCAGACTTCAGTCAGCTGAAACTCCCCTCGCACTGTATCCTTTCCTTTGGCTCTGTGTCCAGATCCTCCTCCAGGGCATTTCAGACAGCTTTTCAAAGACTTTTATGTGCACTGGGCTCTTAAAAAATTTCTTTTAGGGGCTCCCCAGAAAGGCTTCCGCCCTGAGGAGTACCCCCTTCTCACTTGTTTTCAATGAGATGAGCACAGGACCCTCGTCACTACACAGAGAGCAGCATCTCTGTGGGTGGGGAAGCTCAGGGGGGCGGGGAGGGGGGTGGAGAGCCTTCTTTGTGGTTGGAGATGAGAGCACAATTCAGCGAGAGGTCCTGGGGATTCGCTCCTGGGCAGCAGTAAAGGCAGGAGAGTTTTTAAAACCGAAACCGGTTTGGCTCAGTGGATAGAGCATCAGCTTGCAGACTGAAAGGTCCCAGGTTCGATTCCAGTCAAGGGCATGTACCTTGGTTGTGGGCACATCCCCAGTAGAGGTGTGCAGGAGGCAGCTGATCGATGTTTCTAACTCTCTATCCTTCTCCCTTCTTCTCTGTAAAAAATCAATAAAATATATGTTTAATAATAATAATAATAATAATAATAATAATAAATAAAGCTGTGAGCATGCATGAGAAACAAAATGCTGAATTCAAAACCTAAGTCTTCTTTTCCTCCTGCATGTATCCACCTAGTTTACCTTGGATATTTGATTATATTATTGCCTGAGAACAGGATCAAAATGCAAATGCTTCTCCATAAGCAACACATGGAAAGCAAATGTTCATGCCTCCGGCGTGGTTGGTTTTCTGAATGTCTAACAGGATTCTCTTATGTGCATTCATGACATCTCAGTGTTGCCCCTGTGTTAAGCCAGAGCTCCTCAGTGTTCACTCAAGTAGCCCTGCTATCAAAGAAAGGGAACGCAGACAAGCGATGTGAGATCAAGCCCTGGAGAAACCTGCAAGTCTGTGGCTTTGAAGCCTTATGTTTTCACTGGCAGGATGCGGGTAGGAGGAATGTATATGCCATCAAATATGACAAGTGGTGTTGTCATATTTGATGGCATAATATAGAAATATTGGAAGAACAGAGTACAACATGTAAATAGAAATAGTAATGTGTAATCCTAATGAAATTATGTGACATGGGGTTCAGATCCAAAGCCATGTCACACTTAACAAAATACAGTTTAAAACCACAGCCATGATGAATAAATAAATACACAAATCAATAGGAACTCTGTTCTTTAGCTGTTGTTTTTTGTGTGTTTTTTTTCCCCAGAAGGATATGAGAAAGAATCCAATGCATATTTCCACCCAAACATATTTCCTCACTTCACTCTACTTATCACTGTCTTCAAAGCACCATCTAACACCACGCACAGTTCCTTCTCTGTGTCCCACACAGCTTTAACTCTCTCTTCCATGAGCTCCTTCTTTCTCAACTGATTAGTGTGTGGATCTACTCAACCCTTCTAGCAAAGAACATCTCAGCGTCCCTCCTTTCTGTCCAGGCTCTGATCCTAGGAACAGGCAAAGACAAAATGAGGTTGAGAGTTAGGGTGGAGAAGGGAAAAATGGACCAACAGTGACAGCGTACTCATTGGTGGGAAGAGGGAAAGGGCTGTCTCTAAAGATTGCCATGTTAATAATTTGTATCCTGTCATGTGGATACAAATAGAAATATTTTATTCCAGACTCTCTATTGATTACAGATAAAGGTGTCATTTTGTTTGCATGTTGCTCTGTGTTTGGGAGATAATTAATATTGTACCTATAACTAATTATTATTGCCCTTCTTATTGATAAATCTATCCCGTGAGTGTGTTTATAGTGATAGGACATAATATTTTAATGCCAGAATGTGCTTTTTAATGTGTGATAATTAAAGAACTGACTTTTTGGAGCCCATGGAAAATTTTAAATGCCTATTCTTTTTTTTTTTATGACACATTTTTGTGGAAAATGTCACTGTCATTGTGTGAGCACATGTACGCCCATGACAAATATTGGTTGGCCTCTTAAGGAAACTCAAGATCTTTGTGCCAAACCATGAAATGTTCAAAATGAACACAATGAAAATCAAGCAATGCATTTTGCTTCAGAGAGTTTTTTAGTTAAGTGTCAGCCATGAGTAGGTTGTATCTTATTACACAAGCAGACGGAGCAATATCATGGCTGGTTTTTTAAAAATAGTTCAAATATCAGTTACTGTGTGTGCGTTGTCATTGGTGTCATATTATACAAAGTCTCTGTGACTAGATGAAGACAACCAAATTAGACTTTTCGTTTAGTAGTTTCACAGGTATGTATATCAGGTTTCTTCTGTACCAAAGTCTTTGAGGTAGGAGCTGGTGGGGAGGGACAATCATAGAGAGATGTCAAGCAAAATAACTAGACTTCAAGGATCTTAAAAATCTGTGGAGCTAATCAAACATTCCCATAAATAATTATACTCCTGATTGGATGTATAATAAAGAGTGTTAAGTGTCTTCAGAGAGGTTTAGAAGATGTGTCCAAAGAAACTGAAGAGAAGGATGCCTTAGAGATGGGAGGATCAAAGATAGCACGTGGATGGACAAGTCCCATTTGAATGCATATTAGGAAGAAACTCAAAAGAAGAACATATCAAGAGAAGGGAATCTTACCAAAAGCAGGAAACGTTTAGGTGTGGAATGGCATTATTTGGTTGTGCTAGATGGAAAGGGAGCAATAGAGCATGTAAGTGGACAGATATTTAGGGTCTTTTTAGCACAGCTGGGGGACTTGCAGTTATTCAGAAAGAGGTAAGGACTCCAAGGCATGATAAGCAGAGACATGACTCAGGACTCCCGGAGATTGCAGTGGAGACGAGATGAAGACAGTCCAGGCAAAGGGACAGCAGTGATAGAAGGAGGTAGAGTGTCATGGGAATGGTGAGGAGTCTTGTTAAGGCTAGAGTGGAGTGGGTGGGGCTGCAAGTCAAGCCTAGAAAGGAGGTTTGCAGATAAATTCTGAAGGGAATTAATTGTATGCCAAGTTTAGAAGCTCGGTGTTTATCCTCTACACGCACATGTGTCAAACACAAGGTCCGCGGGCCAAATCTGTCCCGCCAGGCCTTGCAATGTGGCCCGCACCGCGCTGTCATCACTGCACTCCGCTGCGTTTCCATCACAATGACAGTTTATGACTGTTCAGTAAACCATTCGGCCCGCGATTTAGGCTGGATTTTAGATTTTGGCCCCTTCTCTGATTGAGTTCGACACCCCTACTCTACAGACAAAGGAACCAACAGAGGGTTTATGGGTAAGGTAACTGGGAGGATAGAGCATAGGCCAGCAGGGTTCCGCAGGCTTTTTCTAGCTCTTGTTTGAGAAACCGAGATTGCAAATATTTCAGACTTTGTGGAGCACATAAGACCTCTATCACATAGTCTTTGATATTATTTCCTTTCCCTTTCCTTCGTTCCTTCCTTCCTTTCTTTTTTTCCTTCCTTCCCTCCTTCCCTCCTTCTTTACTTCCTTCTTTCCTTCCTTCCTTCCTTCCTTCCTTCCTTCCTTCCTTCCTTCCTTCCTTCCTTTTACTATCTTCTAATAATATTAAAATAATCCCATACTCCTCTGGGCAACAAAAACTAGCCTCAACTACCTCGGGCCCTCTGGCCTTGACCAGCATAAGTGGCAGATAAGATGGAAACAAGGATATTGTGCAGAGAGCACAGGAGGGTCCGGCCTAGGAGTGATCCGGCAGTGATGAGGAGGTGCATGGGGACAGATCTGAAATGCAATTAGTGACTCTTAACAATTGTTTGGCTGTTGGGTAATTAGGAAGAAAAGGACAAACAAATGGGGAGCAATATCGAGCTTGGGAGACTCGGTGGTACTGGTATTATTTGTCACAAAGACTCTGGGGGAGTTTGGAAGGAAGAAGAAGGGCTTAGTTTTGAAGCTGCAGGGAGGTTGATGTACCCACAGGTCACTCAGGGAAAGGGTGCCTGGAGAGAGGTGGCGCTGTGGGTCTAAGGCCCAGGTTCCTCACATTCAGAATGTGCGCCTCTGAGGTACCAGATTTGAAAGGATGGAGCATCACCTGAGGCTGGAGGACAAGAAAGAGCTTGTCCGTAGGAACCCCACTTTGGCCGCAGTGGGTTTGGGGTGAGTTGGAGAAGGTGAGGTCAGAGCAGGAAGACCAGAGAGGAAGCTCGCGCAGTAACCCAGGGAAGAGGGAATCGTGTCTCGGCGTGGGGGTAGTGGCCGTGGAACCGAAAAAGGTGACCGATGAGAAAGGTGGTGTGTGGGGTGGGATCACGGGGACTTGGCGGTGGGCAGATGGAAGAAGAAAGAGGTGCCTTCTGCGATCCTCGTCCTCAGATTCCAGTGGCCTGGGATGACGCGGCCTCGATCTTGCACTTTGTCCCACTCTTGTGTAAGAAACCTAGTTATACATGCATATCGTCTTACTGCTTTGGTAGCTTTTCAACTTTGCAAATAACCCTACTTTGTAGCACAGAGGAGGACAGCCACACCCATGCCACCTGCGAAAACCTTTACGTACTCTCCATTAACCGTAAGGAGAAATGTAGAAGAAGCCGCAGAACGCTTGATGAAAGGGTTAAAAAAGATATGAGATTCTGGAACTAGGGCACATCTTAACCAAGGCCTTTAAAGCTGTCTCTAAGCTGAGGGTGCGCTGTCCGTCACGGTGAACTCGCATGTCGCCAGCTTTACTGGAACTTTTGGCATTGGATCTAAGCAGATGCTCCTTAGAAGGGTCAGCGCCAAGGAGAGATGGGGCCTCTGGACCCCTGTCCTCCCAGGGCCTTAAGCTGCTGTGCTAAATACATGTGTAACCAACCGCCTCTGTCCGCACCGCGCATGCACGCTAACACTCACTCTAACGTGGCCGTTAGACTAGACAGGGCCCAGCACCTTTCTCTTTTTTTTGTCTGTTTGGCAATTAACCAGTCACTGGCTTTTTTTGTTGTAACATGCACTTCCTTTCTCTTGTTTTCCATTCAAGCTATGTACGCCATGGAAATTAATGTGGAGAAAGACACACACACAGGAGAGACCAAGATTCTCTCTGCATCCACCATTGGCCCAGAGGGGGTCCACCCGAGAGGAGTCAAAGTCTATGAGGATGGTACCAAAGTAGTGTATGAGGTGCGCTCGGCGGGCGCCGTGGTAGAAAACGGAGTGCACAGACTCAGCTCCAAGGACGTAGAAGAGCTCATTCAGAAGGCGGGCCAGTCCAGCCTCAGAGGCGGGCGCGGGTCCGAGAGGACTGCGGGTGCAGATGGGAGCCTCGGCCACCCCAAGGACCACGTGCTCTGCAAGGAGGCCAAGTTAGAGATGGTCCATAAGTCTAGGAAAGACCGCCCCTCCGGGAACCCGGGGCAGCAGGCCCGGGCCCCCGGCTCGGAAGGGCCGCAGGCGCACTTGGATCAGCCCGTCACCATGATTTTCATGGGCTACCAAAACATTGAGGATGAAGAGGAGACCAAAAAGGTGCTAGGCTACGACGAGACCATCAAGGCCGAGCTGGTCCTCATCGACGAAGACGACGAGAAGTCCCTGAGGGAGAAGACCGTGACGGACGTGTCCACCATCGACGGCAATGCGGCGGAGCTGGTGTCTGGGAGGCCCGTCTCAGACACCACAGAGCCCTCGTCCCCGGAAGGGAAGGAAGAGAGCCTGGCCACGGAGCCAGCCGCAGGTACCCAAAAGAAAAAGCGCTGTCAGTGCTGTGTTGTCATGTGACCGCTTCTCTCTTCCCCCCACGCCCCCCACCCCCCGCTTTCTTCGGGGCGGCCTCGGGGCTCCCCACCACGTACCCAGACCTCACTGTACCACTCACTCACTGCAATACTGTGACCTGGAAGCCAGCGCCTGCCCGCCTTGCAGTCGGATCGCTTTGCTCTCTCTTCTTTCTTCCACCCTCTCGTGTTTTCTCCAGCTTCCTCGCCCTCAGAGACAGCGTGCATGTGTGTGCTTCCTCCTTTCCAAGAACTTGCTTTTCCTCTGGGCCTTTCCCTGTGTCTTCAAGAGTGAACCAGTTCCTTCCTGCTCCATTGGGATGGACTCTTCACAGCAAGCGAGTTCCATAGTAGCCTTAATCCACGCGACTGGGACCAGCCCCGGTGGCCCCGGGGTGCATTCTGTAGTGTGTTCCCATCCTGTGCCACGGGGCCGCCTCGCCGGTGTCTCCCCGGCCTCCCTTGCTGTGGACCTGTGCTTTTATACCTTGTGTGGCAAACCGCTGCTGGCTCTCGCCGGTCTCTAGTGTAGCCAAAAGTGGACCTCGCTTACTCTGTCCATCGAGGGCGATGCTTTTTGCTGCCTTACGTAAGCTTCCAGATGACAGAGCCGCACATCTCTGGCTCTCCTCCTGTTACACCTGATGTGAAGCTGATGTGAAAGCAAAGAACCCAGGGCTTGTCTCAGCTGGAACGTGGGGACTGGTTTCCCTAGCCCACCCACCAGCAGCTGTCCCTCATTCACGGCTTCCCTGGAGAACTCTTTGTATAAGAAGCACCATTTTTTTTTTTTTTTTTAATTTTCTAAGGACGTGAAACAGACATTGTTGTCAGCATCGGTAGTGATCTCACAGCGCGGGCAAGAGCACTGGCCTTGCTTCTGTTCTCTCGGAACAATGTACATTTTTATATTGCGTTCTTTTCCACGGATATTTTTCTGATCATGTTCATCTCTTTTTCAACGATGGGATCATTTTGAGGCGTATCTCTGCAGTGGCCGTATTTCTAGAACAAGGCTTTCTGACCCACAGTGGCGGGCTGTGATGGTCCCACTTCATTGCGGATGGTGCTGTAACCGATACCTGTCCATCTCACCTGCCCAGTTGATTCCAGAGCCTTACTTCCAGTCTCTTTTCCCACAAGAAAGAGAATGTTTCCCATAACGTGAGCATGTAGGTTTAGCCACCCCTCAAAAACAATTTAAAATGTAAAAAAAAAAAAGTAAAAGATTAAGAAAGACCTGTCTTAAGCACATGACGTGCTTAAATTCCTCCCACAAACACTGGTTGGTTGAGTGGCACATAGCCGAGCTTCTTAAAGCATGTTTCCTAAACTTCTGGGGATTCCGGAACATCAAAGAATCGTTAGAACGCAATGAACAATTTCTTAAATAAAATGTCGGCACTTCCCCCCAAAGCAAACAGCCACACATTCAGTAAAACCAAAGGGAAGCAATTTAATAACATAATCATATAGTAATAAAATAAAGGTGTAAATGTTAACTGATTTTTAGTAACAGATATTATCTTAACTTTAAGTTATTTGCCCAAATGTTAATAGCATTGTTACAAATCATTCACAATATTATCCGTGTTCTATAGAATGTAGTTTCAAAAAAACATGCACTGGGCATACTGCATCAAGCCTAACTTCTGTGAAAAGTAGAGGAGAAAAAAATACGGTAACCAAATTTGCCCTAACTATTTGCTTTCTCAGTGCTGAGTCGAGTCGTATTTTTAATTTCTTGGTTTGAAATTATATGCATTCTAATCAAATAGAGAATAATATTTTTATCGTTCAACATTAATTTGTTCTCTAATACTGCACAGAGTGAGTCATTTTATCACTGATATGTAAACAAAACAAGTGGAAGAAGGAGAAAATAAAGGAGCTAAGTTCTGCTTTCTGAGACGATTTCATCCATGGCTTGGTTTTGAGCAGCTGAGGGAATTATCTCTAAATCTCAGCTTCACTCAAGCAGCTGCAATAGACTAAAACTGTTCCGTTATCTGGAAATAATACCCGGTTTTGCTGCCTATAAATCTCACTCAGCTTCCTGCTCAGTAAATGGTCACTGAGGCATCATTTAAATGATAAATAAAATGACATGCCAGATAAACCCACTTGCATGGAAGAAGAAAACAGTTTCCATGTGTTGGACAATCTATTATTTCAACAATTTGTTTAGGAAAGAAAACGCTGAAAGTTTACCGTTGTTTATCTTTTTTTATTTTAATTCCCTTGGGAATTAAAACTATTCAATGTGAGTTTTTATTTATTCCCTCCCCCCAATTTCTTTACAATATGAATTTTTAAAAGCACAGTTAGTGAGTAGAATGGGGAAACTTAGAACCTTGGGCTTGCTGGCTGATACTCAGAATCTGAGTCGTCTTGGACAGAGAATTCCCTGAAATGACCTGCCCTTCCTTCCATAAATGAACTAGTTTCTCACGAAGACACTGATCTGTACCTCTCACTACAACGCTGTACAAAAGACTGAAAGACTAATGATAACCTGCACTCTCATTCACCCGTTATTATTATAGGGATTAGCAGGCTCTATGAATTAGAGTGCTCCCTATGTTTACTGTACAGCTGATCATGTAATGGTTTTCAGAGTAAGGTGTGTTGCTTTTATTCAAATGATTTGTGGCCACAGTGAATGCAGGAGTGTTTGAACGCTATATATATATATATATATATATATATATATATATATATATATATATATATTTGCATATTTTGGATCCTTTTCCTGTTTTAAGGGGGGATTCGGGCTCAGCCGGTACTTCTGTGGGATGAGAGCTACAATCCCACCTACAGCAACAAATAGCTACCCTTCCTAAGGAAGATATCCAGTTGTGAGTGTGAACAGTCTGCCTCCCCTGCGGTCATTGGCATTCTCTGTAACTGACTGCATCAGCGATCACCAACCAGTGGTCCGAAGCCACTGATGGTCCATGAGGTCCGAAAGATTAGCGAACATTGAAGTGCATAATCAGACTAATTAGAACATCGGTAATGAAGCCACAGAGCCATGGTCTTTTTTTGAGCTAATGGTTAGTTGGACTTTCTTTGAAATCATATAATTAATTCCCTCATAAATGGAAAGAGGAAGAGAAGGGGTATTTCATTTGTTTATAAATAGATTTTCAGTGGCATCGAATTAAAGATCCTTTAATTGTTAAAATGATAAGTTTAAGCTTACATACCCTGAAAAATCTTGGTGACTTGTTTCACATATCCTTGACTTTTTTGTTTGTTTGTGTCATGTGAAATAGAACAAACTACAGGGAATTGTTGTTTACCCATTCCTCTTTTACTCAACAGTATATTAATTCCTTATATAAGCAAACATTAGTTGGCTCTAGCAGTGATTTACAATGTACAGTGATGTCACAATATTGAGAGAAGAGAGGGTGAGGGGCTAGGGAATTAGTCCCCTTTTGGCCAAACCCCAAACGTGGTTTTCTTCAGTCTCCTGAGCAACCTACAATTATTCAAAGACTCTCAGGAAATTCAAGCAAATTCTAGCGTGGATCTGATTTGGCTTAACTGTTGATAGACATGTATCTGTTTCAAATCCTCATATATTCCATCTTCCTGGTGATAACTGTGTTTTTCCTGCATGCAAGTAGAGTATTTTATTTTGGATAGGGTCAAGTTTTTATAGAAAGGGGGGGAGCTATATGTCTAGAGATACAATATCTCGGGAGCAAAACATAGAGGCGAAGTGTGAAACAGCCTATTTCTCTTCACTTCTGCAGAATTCCATTCTGAGGGACCACAGAATACCCTTGGCAATGACTATTTATATCATTCCAGTGAATGAACAGGTAGCAAGAGAGGAGGAGGGCATATGGTGATAGAGGCAAAAATTGAACCACCAAAACAGTGCTTCCTTTTTAAAAGCATTTTCCTTCCAATTTAAAACATAGACGAAAAGAAGGAAACTTGACTTTGGGTGGTGAACATAATATAACATACAGGTGATGTATTATGGAATTGCATACCTGAAACCTATGTAATTTTATTAACCAATGACACTCCAGTAAATTCAATTAAAAAATAATAAAGCACAGATGAACTTAGTCAAAGTATGCCCAGAGGATTTTTGTTTGTTTGTTTTTACTTAAATCTAGAAGTTCAGCTGCCTCTGTTTGTCACTAGACCTCCCTGTGGAGTTAAATTAACCAGAGGCCCCATTCCTTATGGAAATATTCTCATCTCCCTCCGTGATGCTTTGTTAACAATAAGCCCTAAGGTGAGCAGCTTTACGTTGTATTTTGCAACATGTACATTTGTTATTTAAACCACAGATTCACCGCATAGCGGATATCTAAGTAAGTGTCAGAAACGTTGTAATTGTGCAAACTTTTAGAAGCTCCTCAATGTACTACGCCAGGTGCATGGAACTCCACTGACTAGGAAAGAACCCGAGAGACTCTCTGTCCTGAGGGCTAATGCCACCAGCAGGTGCATGAACTTACAGCATAAATCCCAGAGCAGCTCAATATCATGAGCAAGATGGGGTCTTGGAGTCCTGCGGCCAGTTCACCCTCATTGCATAGCTCCCTTCTGCTCTTATCAAGAAGGAAAAGTTAGTCTTTTCTGAGGGGTACAGTGCAGTGATGTGTCTGTACTTGCATAGCTTCGGCAAACTCCATAATAAAATCTCCTAACAAAAAATAAATAAAAAACAGAATACTTATTATTCGAATGTAGAAAAGGAAAGAATAAAGATGACATCCTGAAAGTTTCAAAGGGCAATTTTACCAGGGAACCCTAGACCAGCCTTGCCCCCCACCCTTGACCTTCATATGATTTACATCGGCCTCCGCTTCCCTCTCCACCCCAGTCTAACAGAAGGTCAGACTGTAGTGCAAAAAACAAACAAACACACACACACACACACACACACACACACACACAAAACCAAAAGCTGCTTTCTACGTGAAAG